ACCCTCTGACCTCTCCATGTGTGCATGTATGAGTGAGCACAACCATACACATGCATACAAAACACAGAGTTGGTCATAGATGATAGATGGATAGACAGATAGATGATGATAGATGATAGCTAGATGATAGATAGAGAGAGAGAGAGAGATGATAGATGATAGATAGATGACAGAGACAGATAGACAGACAGAAGAGAGATGATAGATAAATGATAGATATATAGATAGATGATAGATAGATAAATAGATGATATATAGATGACAAATAGATAATTGATTGATCAATAGATGACAGATAAATGATAGATAGATAGATAGATAGATAGATAGATAGATAGATAGATAGAGATAGATGACAGAGACAGACAGAAAGACAGATAGACAGAAGAGAGATGATAAATAAATGATAGATATATAGATAGATGATAGATAAATAGATGATACATAGAAGACAGATAGATAATTGATTAATCAATAGATGACAGATAGATGATAGCTAGATAGAAGATGATAGATAGATAGATAGATAGATAGATAGATAGTAGATAATAAAGCATGATCAACCAAATGCCAAGGCTCGGTTGCATATGAACACAGAGCATAAAAACATGTTCTATGGCTCTAAACTACAGCACAGTGCACAGTCCAGGTAGCAACTGGTTTCATCCCAACACTGTCAAAGTGGTTGATTTCATATGAATGTTTTAGTCACTGGAAGACACTCTTTGTGCCATGGCAATAAACTGAGTGTTGCTTTGCATCTTCGTGCCATCTTTATCACATCATCACATACAATATTGCACAACTAAAATTCAACTACAGAGGGAAGCTGTGCTAAAGGCAAGGTGGCAATCCAGGAGGAATGATGGGATAGAAAAGGAATGTTTGTGGAGAAACTAGAAAAATTCAAATACTGTCCTCAGTGTAGCTAAAATGAATGTACTGATGTTGAATCTCCAGTTCTGAAAAATGTACCACAGTGATGTAAGATGCTAAGAGGAAAGTGAGTGAGGATCATTCAGAACTCCATGGACAATCTTTGCAATTCTAAAACATTTGTTTATTTCTAAACACACTGCTGCTAACATAACTGAGTCAAGACATATCCACTAGGTTGTATGTAAAAGCCTCATTCACACCACTGATTCTTAAGAAGACTGAACTCCTAAAGGGCTGGGGATATCACTGAAAAGCAGGGGGGGCGAGCAGAGTGCATTCTTAGAACCTAAGGACAAAATGTGCCTTCAGAAGCAACCTATAATTACACAGAAGCTGAAGAACATTTGCAGAAAATCACCATCTCATCGAAATCTGCATCCTGTTCATCAAAGAGGTCAAAGCCTTTCTGATTATCAGACTAAATATTTTTAGGCAATATCACTGAATACTTGGAAAGAAAATAAACAGCATCAGCTCAAGGAAAAAAGTCATATTCAGATAAAAAGGCAAGTCCTTCATATCATGGGGGGAAAAAATCAACCCAGGAAATTTACAAAGAAAAGCTGGCGAAATTGTTCCCCATTCTGAAGCTCCCTCCTCCTTGTTTGCCTTCATCTGAGCCCTCCACTCACCTAGATTTCTGCATTAAATGTTAGTTTTATGATATTTGACCTAAACATAAAGGCTAGGTCAGAAAATGAACTGGCATGAATAGCTTGAAAGTGCTGAGCACTCAAGACCTGCCTGTGATCCCAGCATAGGGAGTTGGAGGCAGGAGGACTGTGAGTTCACAGCCATTTGAAGAAGCATAACAAGACAAGGAAAGAAAGGAAGGAAGGAAGGAAGGAAGGAAGGAAGGAAGGAAGGAAGGAAGGAAGGAAGGAAGGAAG